CCTCCCCCCTCCAACCCCTATTCAGAAATCGAGAAGATTTTCCACCCTCGCGCCGCTACCCTTAAAGCTAGTCAGTCTCTCTTGCCAGTGGTGCAGCAGCCCTTTTTTCTTTTTTTTCTTTGAATTTGACTTTTGCTTTTCGATTATCTTTTTGTTCGTCTGCTCAAAGAATGTCCGATTTCAGTGACCGATTTTCATCTCGCTGCGAACACTCGGTTTGTTCTAGGGTCATTATTCGGCCGTTAGGCAAAACAGATTGGGCGTCGCGACGCGGGACGAAGCGATTTCGCGTTTGGGACTTTTTGTCGACATTGTAAAATTCAAATTAGATCTGCGCGGCATATTGCGCTGAATGGAAATTAATACCGCGCAACTAATTATACTCGAGTGATTTGATGCTTGCATTCTGGCTCGTCGGAGACGCGCGAGACCCAAAGATCAGTCCGGCGCCCGCGAGACGGAGGATGGTCCAGGAGTCCAGGAGGACTGGAGATTTTGGAAATTTAAAAGTCGGCAGTCTAACATGGCCGTTCGGCCCGTGGCCCGGCAAGCTGGCCCCGCAAAAAGTCCCGGCGCTCCTGGCGCCCGCAAGAAATTTCTAATTTGCGGTATAATTAAGGGAGGTCGAGCAAAAAGCTCGCTGGATTTGAATGGGGAGGGGGTGGGAAATCGCGAATTCCTCCCGAGAATCCAGAGTCTACAGGGACCAACCACTTTATCCCCTTATTCCTAGGGGTCCTTAATTTAATAGAGAAACATTTGATTCTCAGGTATTCCATCGTCACGGAGGACGAGTGGGAGAAGCTCAAGCAATCGTACGAGCTGGACCACGAGCTGATCATCCGGAGGATCAACGAGAACCTGGAAGTGGAGCCCAGTGAGTAGATCCATCATAATATTTAATCGACGTGTGACGTATCATTGGGAATGCAGGAGAAAAGGTGACGTGGTGGCTTCGATGAAAAAAAAAAAAAAAAGAAAAAAAAAAAAGCGTCGGGACGGTGGTGTTTTGCCACCGGATGGTCGCCCTGCTAAAGAAAAGCATGAAAAATTCGTAATGAGAGCGTGGAGCGATTAGAGTGTCTGGTATTATTCAAATCCTGGCTACTGGTACCAGAGAAATGAATTCCGAGGAAGTGCGTGTATTAAGACACGCGAAGCGTCATTAGGCGTCATTAAAAAATAAAAGGAAAAAAAGCTAGCCCAAGAGAAAAAGTATAGAGAGAAGGCATTAGCGGAACGGCGGCGTGTGTGTGCGGTCGAAGATGACGTTTAGAAAATTCGGTAGCACTGCATCGGAGTAGAGGAGGCGAAGGGAGAGAGAGAGAGAGAGAGAGAGAGAGAGAGAGAGAGAGAGAGAAGCGTAGGCGATAGAGAGTGATTGCCAGAAATTTTCACGTGGATTAACATAAGAGGGCCGGTGAGCCCCGTGTAACGTAGCTGCCAGCAAGAGCGGCGGGGGATTCGGTGATTAACATATCAATTTAACGGCGACATGCCTGGCCGGCCTATTAATGACTTTGTCTCTCTATTCCACGAGACGTTTTCGATCTTATCGGCAATTAATTCCTCGAGCACTTGCGGAGTGTCATTATGTAAATGATTCTGCGACCGATCCGGCCTCAATCTTTCCCTCGGCGTCCCGCCTCTCTTGATATCATTATACGTTATATCCAGCGTGTCCTGCACCCTCGCGTGAACTCTGAACCCTCGCACTGTGTTGGTTAGAATCGTTGGTTGCCGTAGAATCGAGCGAGCGTCTGTTGTTCCGAACGTCGAACGTGGACGACGCGCATCCACGTACTGGAGAGAATCGCCAGGCGCATACCAAGTGACCCGATCTGCCGATGCTCATAATCAGCAGCAGCCAGTAGCTACGATTCCTTTCTGTGCGTCGAACTAAGCGATACTTGATATAGACAGGCTAGCCGGTAATGCTCTGCCTGCTGGCCCCTCGCTCCTCCGGAGAGAGAATAATGTCAGAAGACATTAGCCCCTGATTTACATAAATCCCCAGCGCCCCCCAAAGTGTCTCATTATAATTAAGAAGTGTCCCGAAAATTAACCGACAGAAAAACGACGAGCTGCTTCCGTCCCTCGGTCGCAGGGTGGATACGCACCACCCGCGCACAGCGACAGTACAGTCCCACCCAGCCCTGAATCGAACTTTCTCATTTCTCTCTCGTCCGGTGCGATGCAGCAGCTGCCTTTCCAATTAGATTTCAAATATCCTCCTGGGACACGTGCTCTTACACGGGTGCGCGTGTCCAGTGGCGAATCGCGTTGGCGGCCGTGAATCTCGTGTCTTCTGTAAGGACCATCCTCTAAACATCCCATTGTCTTGTCCGTCTCTTGGTGCTGGATTTTTTGCGACATTTGTCAAGGCAGCGTTCGACTATCGCTAACTGCGGGCGCCGAGTCATTTGAATTGCAAAGTTCTCATTCTCCTCCACGTCCACCACCACCACCACCAACCGCAGCATCCCTTCTCTCGAGAGCGAATCCTGATCGTATCCCACCTACTCGCATCCTCGCTCTCCGGAGTAACATGTCCAGGAGATCCGTGCCAGAGGAAGACGTCTCAGTCTTGGCTCCGCTTAGGAATTAGACACGCAGGTTAGATGTAGATGAGCCGAGTTTCTTTTTTCTCTGGAGGTTTCCTGAGTTATTGAATTCTTCAGGCACCGAGCGATGTGTGCCAGACTGTATCGAGAGACATGAGGGGGGTGGAGGGGGGGGGTGCATTGCCAACGGGTTAGAAGGTACGTGTGACACGAGGGGGGATGCTGGTGCTCGAGGAGGGAGGGAGATGGCCGGAGGAATTGTAGGAGAGACACGAGAGCTGGTCCAGAGCAAACAGACAATTTAGCTTATTTTAAGGGCAACCCGTCCTCTCTTCTCTCTCTCTCTTTCCCTTTCCTCCCTCTCCCGTCTGCCTCTTCTCCGAGGGGTGGAACAAAAAATCGGGGGTTGCTTTTGGTGACTGATACGGCCCTGCCTAACGAGCCCGGACCTCTGCCCGTTCTACTCTCGAAGCTTAGAGGGTGGTCCTTGCAGCCCGGAGCACATTAGGTCCCGTCCGTGCTCGTATCAATCACACTACCCTCTCCTCTCCTCTTCCTTTTCTAAGCGGCCCTCCCACTCTCTCTCTCTCTCTCTCTCTCTCTCTCTCTCTTTCGGCCTATCTCTTTTCCTATCTTCGTTCTTTCCTTTCGCTTGCCGATTTTACATGCTACAAATTATTCCCTCTTGCCCGGTACACAGGCTACGTTTTCCCTTTGAGCCACCTTCGCATCTTGAGGCATCGCGACGCTTCGCGCATTAATAACGTTAAGCGACGCTCCAGGCGTCCTGCTACAAATCAAACGGACAATCCTCCTTCGCCGCTACTAGTAGTCACCGGTGGCCCCACTCCGTGTCTCCAGTAGCGTCCTGCCAGTATCATCCCAGTGGCCGTGTATCACAAAACAAGGCTGCGCCGCGACGCTACACTCGCGCCGGAATTAATATTCGGACGGCGTTTAGATTTAGAACTCGAATTTGCAGATTAGTTTGCGAGGGTGGTGGGTGGTGGGTCTGGCCGGGCGGTGCGGTCGTGGTGGACTCTTGCTCCTCCTCTTCCACCAACTGATTTCCTATCCTGAAATAGGTTCGGGGGTCAAATCGGCTCGGAGCCTTTGTCTCTCTCTCTCTCTCTCTCTCTCTCTCTCTCTCTCTCTCTCTCCTTGTGGTAGAACGAGTTCGAACATTTCCAGATTCCCAATGTTCTCAACACTCTCAGCCTCTTCCTCCCCTTATCCATTTCTTCCTGTTATCGTTTCTTCTCCTTCCTCTACAATCAGCTAGGCAGCCGCCTCGCGGGTCAAGTCCAGAGGGATATTTGTTCAGCGGCAAGTGTGCCAGACACGTCTTAATATATGCATTTCTCTGGACCAAGGATAACTTTGCAGGGAAGGTGGCGGCGGTGGTTGATAGGTAAACCCCCTCTGGACGGCGCTATGAGGATTCTCGTTAGGGTTCTAGCTTGCCACGCAGAGATAAATGGATAATGTTTCTACTAGAGGGTGGTTGTCGAAAAGAATAAAAAAAAAGTAGAAAAAAAAGAAGAAACGTTGGAATCGAGATACTCGAGTGGGGACAATTTCGCAGGAGCAAATTAGCCGCTCCTCTCCGGCTCGACCCTCCTTGGGTCCTTCTCTTATCCTGCAGGAGATCCCACTCGTCCCTTGCGCCACAGGGGGTGGCTTTCCTACGGGATTAAATGGAGCGCCTAGATGACCGATGCTCAGCTCCAGGGGGTGCCACGCCGAAAACAAGATAAAACAGGGATAAAGCTCTCGCTTAGCCACCGTCCTGTGGACCACTTTCTATCTTCTCTCACTTTGCCAAAACGTTTCTTCTTCCGATCTTTTTGACTTTCTCACTTCTACTTGCGCGAATTCTCATGCTTCTTGCTGCTCCGTCGTTGCTCCCGTCGCTGGACCATTTTCCTACTCGTTTCGCGTATCTGCTGCTTGTTGATTAAGCGACTCCGAGACTTCCGTCTAACGTAAGAGGATTAAGTATCCGACTTTGTTGTGGTCCTCGAAGACGTTCGTTAGCGGAATCGTCGACGACGACGTTCTCAAGCCAGATCACGACGTCGGTGCGGCGGCCTGTGCTGATCTTCCGTTTCTTCGACAACAAAGAGCGCTTCGCAGTCGTTTCTAGCCAAAGGAGGGTTGCTAACCACATCTCAGCACATCTCAGCACATCTCAGCACATCTCGGAATAAGTCGGCAGGTCGTGTTACGTCGCTGAAAGAAAGTGGCAGGGTGAATCCGGAGGATGGAGGGTGGAAAGACGTTTGGCTGATGTGTAAGGGTGGCTGGCTGGCTGGCTGGCTGGCTGGCTGGCTGGTTTGGGTAAAAGGGTAAAAGGGTAAAAGGGTAAAAGGGTGAAACTGGTGGCGCAAGTCGTTCCTTATAACTGGTTAGGGGTTGCTCGCGATATGGGCGCATCTATGCATGCATGTCCATCCAGATATCGAAGAGAAGAAGGAGACGGCTGAAGGATGGACCAGGGTGAGGGAGAGAGAGAGAGAGAGAGAGAAGCACCACCCCATTAATCTTTCATTCACGGGGTGACTCCGAAGTTATGAATGAAACTGGCGACCCTTTTAATATAATATATTTCGCCGCCCTTACTAACGCGGTTTCGATTTTGATCGAAGACTTCGGGTTCGACACGAGCGCGCACGTGTTACGGCACTTTTTTCATCTTCTCCTTAATTTCCTATTTCCCTCATTTCACTTGTCCACTTTACACTACCTCCCGTCGGCCAGCTAGTCTTCGACCGGATGTACGTCAAACCGGAAGTATCGGATAATCGCGCAGCAGCTCCCTTCACACCCCTCGACTGGCAGCATCTTCCCAAGATCTCTGATCATCTCGGCAGACAATTCCTACAGGGTTGCCTCATCGTCACGAGGTCATTTTTTGTCTCCTGGACGAGACTATTTTTTTCTTTTTTCGTTTTATCTTTCTCCCTCTCCCTCCAGCCTCTGTAATTCTCCGGAGGTTACTCGAAACTCGCGGCACGGCTCAATTTATTCGTTCCGTCTCCAGGTTCGTCATTGTTGCGTTTCTTCGGGCTTCTTGATTGATAGTCCTTAATTGCTCTAGGATTCTATGAAAATCATTAAGAGGACACGGGAGGCAATCAGGACCACAGAAGGATATTTTAAGAATTTTATGATGACGTGGGACGCGCGAGACTCTCAGGAATAAATAGATCTTCTCTAGGTGAGCCACCCCACCTCCCGTCCTCCCCTCCTCCCCTCCGGCCGCAGCCTCCCAAGGAAGTAGTCTCCCGCCACACCCGGCAAACTTCTCGCGGCGAAGAAAGTTTTTGCCACGCTCGCTATTTTATGGCTTGACTGCCCTCGGATGGCACTTTAGGGAAATACACGGGGAATACTCTGAAGAGCCTATTGTGTATTATTCGCCAATAAACCGGGCCGCTCTGGTTCTGTGTTTGCACTGCAGAGGGAAGCTGCTTGTTTATTCGAGTCTGCCCACCCACTCGTCCCACTCATCCCATTCGCTCCATTCGCTCCATTCGTTCGACTCGCTCGATTCGCAACGCATTCCGTTCTACATTTCCTGACACAACACTTCTCTCCATTCGAGGACAACCCTTCTCCTGCCCCTCCGCGGCCTCCTCCGCGTCTAGACTCCTTCATTGAAATTGACTTTGTCAGTCGACATGCGAACGGCCTTAATAACTCCTTAGGAGTTTCCTCTGGCAAGCGCAGCGCTGAGAGGCAAAAGTGTCTTCAGGATGACTCGATTAATAAAGGGGTTGGAGCGGAGCTATTGCTGATGGGCGGTGGGTGGTGGCTCGTAAACGAGAGGGGATCGTTTTCGAGTAGTTAAGTCAGGTGCCGATCGGCCATCTCGTCCCTCATTAGCTTAGATTTCTCGTATTTTAGAATTTCCGATATCAGGCTCCCTCATTTCCGTGAGTCGAGTCTCCAGCGGTGGGTATTCCTATCGGATGATATCGCACCGCTAGTAATTAGGAGAATCCAAGGGCGGTGGACACTCGAATTCATCGCAGGGGTGTGAGCACACACCTCCTGGCTGTTCCCTCAGGCTGGGCTCAGGCTGGGCTCAGGCTGGGCTCAGGCCGGCAGGACCCTCGGCCGCCCCTCGAGCGCCCCTCGAGCGCCCACTCACCCTTGGAAAACTGTCTGAACATGACGTAACACTCCCACAGAGGTCTAGCGTAGCCAGCGCGTACGCGCTAAAGCGCTTTTTGCGCTGTCCAGCCAGTAACAATGGTCGCTGCTTCTTACACCCCGCCGGTCACACCGTATATTATTAATTACTGTATTAATCACCACCCATAAGCAATCTATTATACATGGATAAGAGCCACCCTTGGTTGCCTTGGGAGGCCGGCTGCTGGGCCAACCCCTAAGGCCTTGATGAAATCTGGCCAACACTGTTTAGCCCTGACTTTAGCCCCTTGGTCCATTATCGAATTTGATTAGTGGAATCGGGCAGGCACCTTGCTCAGTTGAGATTCTATTTTACTTTTCTTTTTTTTTTTTCTTTTTTCTTTTCAGCCACTTGCGCTGCCTGCATGCTCGCCAGGGTCGAGAAGGAGCGCCTGGAGAGTCTTACGTACGAGAGAGCAACGATCTTCATTAAGTGTATCGATGATTACGAAGGACAAAAGTCTGATAATGATTCGGAGGTTAGTCAATTTCGTAAAGCTTCGTCTTTATCACCTTTTTTTTTGTTTATTTCTTGACTTAATCTTTATCCTTGTCTCGATCTCTGTCTCCCTCCCCCCTTTCCTCCCGTTAAGAGAAAATCATTGAATGGGTTGCTACAGTGTTGTCGAGTCATCTTCAATCCTGAAACGAGAAGCCAGGAGAGGAGAGAAGGGGAGATTCAGATTGATGGCAGTTGATAAGGAAATTGGTCCCATCTCCTCCATTTCACAATAATAATCGTGATTACGGGTCCTGAGTGGCTACGAGTCTTCATGGCCGCCACAAACAGGGACACACCTGCTGTACCGTCATTTCTCTACCTGACTCTCCTCTTCCACTTTGACTTCTTTCTTATTCTCTTATTTCTCCAATTGCCACGCGTTCCTCCTTTACGTCTTGCACGTTTCCTCGGCCAGTCTAACCAGACGCAGAATTCAGAAGCAACGATTCCATTGGATTTTCAGAATCAGCCAAAGAGAGCGAAACTGGAGACTGCGACGGCGACGAGGCCCACCAGGACTCGGAGGAAAACGAAAAAGTCCCACGAGCTCAAGGTATCGTCGACTATTACCCTGAGGGACCTGAAACTCATGGTGAGTCCAAAGAATCGCATCTTCTCTTCTTCTTCCTCTTCTTCTTCTTCTTCTTCTTCGAGTACTTATAGACTCGTTGGCCTTACGCGAATGCATGATGGTCAGAGCCAGTGCGGCGGTAGGTGTGCCGATGAAAGCATTGTCGATTCACAATCGGCCTGCAGAGCCGAAGCCGCAGCTTCTCTCGTTGATGGCGCGGTCCACGAACCAGAGTAGTAAAGCATAGTTATGGCTGGTTAGCATATGCGGGCCCTGGGAGTGTGCTTAAACTATTAAGCGTATTTATATTGCGAGGCCGAAGCCATCTCGCGGGGCCACCGGCAAAAACCCGAAAGAGCATAAACCCCGCACTAATAACAGGCCTCCACCACTTCTCGAGAGCACTCCACTTTACTCTCTCTCTCTCTCTCTCTCTCTCTCTCTCTCTCTCTCTCACGCCTGCACTCTACGAGCGGTCCACGCACTCCCATCCCTCCTATCGCACTCGCACTCATCTTCTTCGGTGCACCGATGCGTCCCGTCCAATTCGCGAGCCATACGCATCCCCGTCCCGTTCGGCACGCAGTACGGCCACCAAAAACTTGTCGAAAAAAAGAGAAGAAACGGACGCCTAGTGAAATAACAGTTGGCATGATTGCTCGATGGGATCGAGTGCAGCGAATGCTGCGTGTGCAGCCACTTTGTGCATCTTTTGGAAAAGCGCGCGAATTCGAGAATCCAAGAAAAATGCTGGATCGTTGCGAAGTAGCATGATCGAGTGCGAAGTAGCGACACGATGTCAGTCCCCCAGCCCCCCAGCCCCCCAGCCTTCCAGCCCCCGCGGACCTGGACAATAACGTAGTTGCGCCTTTTTCCTCACGGATGGATGGACGGGCGGATTATGTCGGTGGACGAGAGAGAATGGAGACTTTTACGTAATGCCTATCTTGCGGCTGGTCTAAACGCCCGCGCTGTAAATATTACTTTCTACCACATTCCGTACGCTTTGTCTTTTTTTTATCCCTCTTTCTCTCGGTCTTTTCTTTTCCTTCGATTCGAGCGGGGCGGGGCGGGGCGGGGGGGCGCTCTTGTCACGGCAGCTCAGGAAATCGAGCGAGAACGGCTGCACGTACGTGGCTGCACCATTACGTTAGGCTGGATAACGCAGGAATTGCCGAAAGAGTCCGATCCGTGCACCCGCGTCCTCCGTGTCTCCCGTGTCCTCCGTTGTCTATAGCCTATACTCCGTAGCTGTCTCTAGCAGCATTGTCTGGCACAGGTGCATCGGGGCTGCAAGTGCCTTAAGCCGAAGATCCGGTGCGTCTCTCTCTCTCTCTCTCTCTCTCTCTCTCTCTCTCTCTCGCTGTGTGCGTGTGTACAGATCCTCCACTCGTAAAAGTACTTGGGCGCTCGCGCCAGGCTCACGGCGTGCCTTGCTCGTAAAACGAAACTGAATACGTTTGCACCAACACAGTCGCGAATTGCACTCGAAATCCGTGCAGCAAACACCGACGTGCTTTCACAAATTAAGCAATTACCAGACGCATGCTCACCGACCGGCGACCCCTCTTGCCCCCCTTGCCCCCCCCC